CAAATCCTTTATTCCCCTAGGACAATTAGTAATTACATAGACTATCATTTTAACCCATGGTTCTATTCAAACAGTTTTCAGTTAACTTATTCATTTTCTTCCACTTTCCCTTTCTCTCTTTGCTCTCAATTTCAGTGTTTTCATGTCTTTTTCAGTGTTTTTCAGTCTGTTAAGTGGCTCAATTTTAGCGTTTTCATGTCTTCCTCTTTATTATATTATTTTTCTAAGCAAATACGCACCAGCCCTTAGACAGTTGGATATATATCGATAGACTGGGGTGGGGGAGCGTTGAAACGGTGGCGAGAGGACACACTACCGTCAGGGAGTCAGCCTTAGAAAGGGAGAGCTTATTTGTTTATCGTGCATCTTTCATAGAAAGAAACAATAGCCGCTCTCTTGGTTTGGGGCTCTTGGCGCCGCCCAGTGGAGACAAGCGCCTTTGCACCTCATTCGGGTCAATTGGCATTATCTTGTGGACCCTTAGAAAAGTTCAAACAAAATGACAGGAAGAAACACTACTTCCAAGTTCCTCATGATCTATAGGTGCAACTCTTCAAAGTTCAGTTCCGTTTTGCTTTTTGTTTTTTTAAAAAAAACCCTGATGCTCCAGTTTAAAGATTACCCCAAATCTCAGTTATAAGAGTGAGTCTCTGAGGGAGTGTATTGAGGAATGAAACGTTAAATGCACGAGCGTTTGAAACTTTCCCTGTGGTGGGGAGGGAGCATTGTTAGTGATCAGGACTGGTGTCTTTCAAAGCCAGAAAGGAAAGGTTGTTCTCTATTATCCACAGTTGGCAAATAACTGCTTTTATGCAAAGTATTATAAAATATTCCAAAAATTAAATCATTTTCTTCCTTCCGTTGTCTTCTTTTAAAGGAAATGAAGGCCTGAAAGTGGAAGATCATTTTCAAATCCATGCCAGTTTAGGAATTATATTTGTTTGTATTTTAAATCCAGTGGGGAAAAACCTCAGATTAAATTCAGTTAATGCATTTATTTTTCTGTTACATGGGTATTGAAAATGTAATTCATCTGCATTCTTTTATTTCTGAATTTTTATTTTTTAAAATGAAAAATCATTTGCTCTGCTAGAAAGGGCATAATTTCTTGGGTGTATATACAAGGTGGTGCAAAAGTAAGTTTACAATTGTTCGTATGGAAAAGAATACAATAACAAATAATAAAACAAGTATAAACTTTGTTTTACGTACTCATGACTGTAAACCTACTTTTGTATATATATATTTCCAGAAAGCAAAAGAGAAATGTGTCTGGAGAAAAAAAGAGCCGTGAAAAGTTAAGAAACAAAACCCAACCCCCGAAGAATGTTTTTTTTTTTTTTTCATAAAGTTTTCGGTCTAGTCTTTGAGTCCCTCTTTTGGATCTTTAGGGCACTAGTAGCATTTCCTCTCTGGCAGGCGCTCTAAGATGAGAGCCTTGATAAAGTGAAGGTCTCAGTTTCCCCTCTGAATGGTTATTCTGGAAAGCTGACCTAACTCCCACCCATAGAAAACTTCTGGGATCTTAACCTTTCCTTAAGAAAAACAGGATCCGAGCTCTTCACAAGGTGGGGCCTACTGGGCGTCTGTTTTGTTTGCTTTGGAGTTTTCATAAAATGAACACTCCCCCTCCCCTAACACTTTCATCTTCCTCTCTCCCCCTTTTTTTAGATTTCATTTTTTTGGTAGGGTCATATCTCTGTCTCTCCCGCTAATGTACATTATTCCAAGCAAAAAGTCCTGTCCAACAGCCCAACACAACTGCGTGCTCAGCCTTTTGAGCTCTTGAGTCATTTCAAGCATCGGAACAAAACAAAAACAGGCTGAAATGAATTATTTATCAAGGTCAAGAATAACTGATTTGTGCAGTGCCACCAGTTCTGGATCTTAAATTTGTTTTTCCTCCTCCCTACTTCCCACCCAGAATAGCCTGCGAGGAAAGTGTAGGCTGTAGCCTCATTTGCGAAGTTAGTGGGTGATGTCTGAGTGAGAAGCGCCCTAATTGATCATTTGAAGGGAAGAATGTGTATCGCAGGCCTGTAGTTCGGACAGGCCCGGCGCCCTTCCCACAGTAGCCGAGTGCGCCAGGGGCGCGGGTGCCGAGGCCACGAAGGTGTGCGGCACCAGCCTTAAGGGAGGGACATTGCAGCCTTCCATGTGATAGACGCCCTTCGAGTCCCGGGCTCCTGGGCTCCCAGGAGGATCTAAGCCCGCTCCGGGCATTATCCGGGCCCTCTGCGGCTTCCCGGCCCAGAGGGGCTCGACCCCAGCTGGCCAGCCGGCCGAACA